GTGCCCTACTCCATCGTGGGAAGAGAGGAGCTCACCTGCCTGAGCTTCCCTACACGTGGCTCCCAGGTCTTTTGTCAAAAGAAACACCACGATACAAGGGAATATTTGTCCAAAAAGACCTCTTCCCTGTGGATAAATTAACTCCTTCCACTTGCCAGGGCATGTCCATCTCCCTTCTTTATGTCCATCTCCCTTCCAATTAATCTCAAATTTGTTCAACAATTGGAGTAATTTCTTAATCCAGTTAGGGAAAAAACAAACAAACAAACAAACAAACAAACCCAAACAAAAAAACAAACCTGAAAATGTTAAACAGCATCATTTTGCCACAAGTTTTTTGAAAATGTTTGCCGCATAAGATGTGAGGAGTTGTGGCTTCAGAGTTCATGCCTGGACTGACATCAAAGTTATAAAATCTGCCAATTTCCAAATTTCTATGTTTTCCCCAAATACATGGGGAGAACTGTAGGAGAGACAGGATGCAGATCTAAAAGGGYTTTRATACMTGGGATGTTTGCAGATGAACACATCTGCAGTGTTCCCARATGGAGCAGAGGCAGCCCATGATGCTGGACCAAGGAAAAGAAGCCTCCAACCAAAGCTGACTGCCCTGCAGAGAGGACCTTCTTCCTCTGCTGGGTGACATGGATGGTGTCATACACCGAGCCCAAGCTCCCTCAGGTTTTATTGTTTATTAATATGTGTCAGATATTTAATGTAGCTGGATTTTTCATTCTGTTCTGCACTCAAATCTTGAAGACATGGTAAAATATTCACCTGGCAGAGGCTGAAATTTGCTTTGYTTTGGGGAAAGTAGTTCAAAATCCCTCCTGGTTAGAAACCTATAAAAATTGTACCGCCCCAAGCCACAAGAAGCACAAAAAAGGGGGGTGTGTGTGGAGGGACCCTCCCCCAGTCTCCAGCAGTCAAGGTTCAAATATTCCTCAGCCAGAAGTGGCATCCAGATCACAGTGTTTAATAGTCACTGATGGAACAAGGCTCCACAAATAGGCCTGTTCTTTTCTTGACTTCAAATATATTTTTTGTTCTTGATAATACYCTGTGACAACACATCCTATTACTCAAACACACGCTGTGCCAATAAGGATGTTCTTTCATCTGTTTGGATCCTGCTTCCAGGAAATTATCACTTCAGCCCCTCATTGCTGAGCGGTAAAAAAATGGATTTTACTCTCCTAAGTATCATCCCTACCTTAAATAAAGATTTTATAGATCTGTGTCTCTAGCTTGTCTCTTTTTGCAAGGGTCTAGTCTATCAGGTCTCTGTGCAGAAGGTATCTGACATCTCTGCCCAGCCCTGCTGTCCTGCTCCTCTTCCCTCTCTGTCCCACTCTGGGATGAGACTTTCCCTATTTGAGCAAAAATAAWTTTTTTCCAGGCACAAAGCAGCACTCAACAAGGAATTCCCATGAAAAGAGGAAGGRGTGTCCCTACCTTTTTGGTCTTGACTGTAGAGGCGCAGCAGTCCCCACCATCATAGTTGCAGAAGGCTCTGTTGTTGATGGAGTCACAGTAATTGTCCCCCATGAAAGGCTGAAAAAGGAAAAATAAAACAGGAAAAGGCTGAGAGGGTGGACAGGGATGAAATGAGCACCTTCCCTATGGAGACAAGCTGAGAAAATTGTGCTTGGAGAAGGGAAGGTTCTGTGGAGACCTCACAGCACCTTCCAGTCTCTGAAGGGGCTACAGAGAAACTGGAGAGAAACTCCTCATCAGGAACTGGAGTGACAGAACAAGGGGCAATGGCTTCAAACTGAAAAAAGGGAAATTTAGGTTAGATGTCCAGAAAAAAAAAAAACTTCTTTTTGAGGGTGGTGGCACAGAGCAGCTGTGGCTGCCCCATCCCTGGCAGTGTTCAAGGCCAGGTTGGACACAGCTTGGAGCACCCTGGGACAGTGGAAGGTGTCCCTGCCCATGACAGGGGGTTGGAAGTGAATGATCTTTAYGGCCCCTTCCAACCCAAACCATTCTAAAGCCTGTAAATATTTCAGAAGGAAACCATGAAATCTTGAAGGAGCCATACAGTTTGTAACACACCAACTGCCCTGAAAAGCAAGAGAGAATTCC